TTTTTTATTATTAGCCCAACTTCAAAAGATGACTCCCCATTTTCTAATAACACCTCCATAGGTATACAACTTTTCTTCTTTGGGCCTAATTCATGTGTTTCTCTCCAAAATTGCTGAGGGTTGCCTGTTTGCAGTCTCTATTTTGAGTGCTTGCCCTCTTTTGAACCTTCTCTTAAAAAACCTTAGTTTTTGTCAAAATTAACTTGACACAACTTAAATTGGGTAAAAAATATTTTTTCCTCATGGGGTCCATAGGACCATGCTACAGAAATCTCCTCTGCCGAGCGTAGCTCTAACCATAAATCCTTTAATTCATTATTCCAAAATGGCTGTTTAACTCTAGTAACGTTTCTTAAATTCCCTTGCTTTTTAATAGGACAATATTTTTCCATCTCAACGTGTAACACTTTACAAAAATTACTATACCAAAGATCCATCCTTTCTTGGTTCTTTCCCACACTCAGTAATTGTTCTAAAACCTGTGATAATGTTCTATGACACCTCTCCGATGACAAAAAATCAATGGGATAATTTCGACTCTTTCTTGTAGCCTGCTGTAACAAATCAGAATTTACCAAATCATTGATCTCCTTTTCCACTTGAAAACACAAGTAAAAAATTGAATGATCAGGAAGTCTACTATTATCATCAATCAAATTAAAACTGTCATGGCCCAATCTGTCCATAAGTTCCAGGGGTGTGTAAACTTCAAATTCAAGGCATGTTTTAACATCAGCATATGGAGTCACAATATAATCAACTACTGCTTTACCCCTAACAGAGATTGAAGTGAAATTATTACACTCAGGATTTAATCTTCCATTAACAATGCAACATTTTACATTCTTTAGAAAATCAATAAACACATGACCATGATTATTTATATTCATGTCCAGAACCGCACAAGGCGGAATATTTTCATCATCCACATAGTCCTTAAGGTCTCCGATTCGGCTATTAAAGTCTCCACAAATATAAGTGGCGTCCTCCTTAGCAGTAATAATATATAACAGAGTTATAAGTTGACAGAAATACAAGTCAGTATCCGTACCCCATGTAGAGGACTCCGGTGACAGACAACAAGAGATTAAACAAAAAGAGCTTTTCAGCTTTATATGCTGTAAACGTAAACAAAGAATCCCGTCAAAATTTTGGTCTATTTCAGAGACTAAATACAGTTTCAGCACGTCATCCTTAATTAAAAATCCAACACCACCGAAGGGTTTAACAGCTCTCTTATGTACAATATGATTATGACCAAACCAAGTGTATCCTTCCAAGTCCAAAATATCCTTAGATAAGTGTGTCTCATTCAAGGAAATAAAATCAGGGTTTAAGGGTTTGAGCAAACTAATTCTACGCTCACAGTTTGACACTGTCCACCCGTTCACATTTCAATGAACGAGTTTAAACTGCTCAGCGACACACCTGAATGACTGGGCCGCGAACTCACTTGTTCAAGCTGGCTTTTGTATGACCTTCTTCACCACTCTCTCTTTATTCTGCTCTCCCCACCTATTCCACCTTCCTCAGGATCCACTGGTTTCCCTCTTTCCTATTCACTCGCTCTCTTTCTTAACATTTTTTCTTTTAAATCGCAATTGCTTATTCTTGCTCATTTTAAATATATTTTTAAACATTTTTGAAATGCTTTTTTATATTTATACAATTTTTATATTTATTGTTTTTGTGAAGCACCTCGTGATTTTTATCTTGAGAGGCGCTGTAGAAATGATATTTTCTTCTTCTTCTTCTTCTTCTTCTTCTCAGTGGTCACCGCCTCTCGCACCGTCTTTCCTCCCGTGGCGATCCGGGTGGCGTGCATCCGCCTCATTAAGCGTCCATTCCCAGTCATATAAAAGTCTTTCCCGAGACCTCAGGATCAAAGCCTTTCTTCTCTGTCTCCTTTTAGAAGAAAGAGCCTTCGGCTATTTTAAGTTAATATGGTGAAGGTATGGATTGGTTCGTCCACTCTGGGTAGATTCAATCACCTCCTACCATTGGAATGGAAATGTGTTCCCCAAGTCAATAAAAGGAGTATTTTGGTGTTGTTAGGGGCATTTCATTTGGCTGAATTCCTCCTGGTTCCTGATGTATTGAACCTGTACTGATGTGGACTCATTAATAAAGTTTCTGATGTCAAAGAGTCTGCCTCAGGGAGCCTTTCTCCGGAGCTTAGTCATCGGCTGATTCAAAGGTGGCAACCCCTGGCTGAATTCCCCACACAAGCAAGTTCTTATCAGCTGAGCAGAGCTACCAGGGGGACATGGTCAATAAGCATGCCTCTCACGTGTGCGGGAGCAATGCTGTTCAGGGCGACAGTGGTACAGGAGTTAAGTGCTTGCCCCATAATCGGAAGGTTGCAGGTTTGAGCCCCGCTCAGTCTGTCGCTGACGTTGTGTCCTTGCCTGCTGGTGGTGGTCGGAGGGACTGGCGGCGCCAGAGCTTGGCAGCCTCGCCTCTGTCAGTGCACCCCAGGGCAGCTGTAGCTACATCGTAGCTCCTCCCCACCAGCATGTGAATGTGTGTGTGAATGGGTGAGTGACTGATTGAGTCGTAAAGCGCCTTGGGTGGTTCTAGGACTCTAGAAGGCGCTATATCAAATACAGCCCTTTAACCATTTATATCCAAGGAGTGGGATTTTAAAGTTAATTCTGAATTGGATCGGAGTGGAGGGAGGCCAAAACTGGGAACCGCAATTTTTGTCACTTTGGCTTCACATTTGGCAGCTGGAGATTGCCCCTTTGTTACTACATCACAGTCATTCATCCATTCACATGCTGGTGGTGGTGAGCTACCATGCAGTCACAGCCCTGAGGCACACTGATGGAGGTAGGCTGCTGTACACAAGGTCCCTCTGATCACCACCAGCAGGCCAGGAGGGTAACACGTCTTGCCCAAGGACACAACGACTGCCTGAGGCTGGAACCTGCAACCCTCTGGTCACAGGGTGGGCACTTAATTCCTCTGCCACTGTTACCAAAGTCTTCGTCTTCGTCTTCCTCCGCTTGTCCGGGTCCGGGTCGCGGGGGCAGCATCCCAATTAGGGAGCTCCAGGCCGTCCTCTCCCCGGCCTTGTCCACCAGCTCCTCCGGCAGGACCCCAAGGCGTTCCCGGACCAGATTGGAGATGTAACCTCTCCAACGTGTCCTGGGTCGACCCGGGGGCCTTCTGCCGGCAGGACATGCCCGAAACACCTCCCCGGGGAGGCGTCCAGGAGGCATCCTGACCAGATGCCCAAACCACCTCAACTGGCTCCTTTCGATCCGGAGGAGCAGCGGTTCTACTCCGAGTCCCTCCCGAATGTCCGAGCTCCTCACCCTATCTCTAAGGCTGAGCCCGGCCACCCTACGGAGGAAACTCATTTCGGCCGCTTGTATCCGCGATCTCGTTCTTTCGGTCATTACCCAAAGCTCATGACCATAGGTGAGGATTGGGACGTAGATCGACCGGTAAATCGAGAGCCTGGCTTTCTGACTCAGCTCCCTCTTCCCCACGACAGATCGGCTCAGCGTCCGCATCACTGCAGACGCAGAACCAATCCGCCTGTCGATCTCCCGATCCCTCCTACCCTCACTCGTGAACAAGACCCCGAGATACTTAAACTCCTCCACTTGAGGTAGGACCTCTCCCCCGACCCGGAGGAGGCAAGCCACCCTTTTCCGGTCGAGAACCATGGTCTCAGATTTGGAGGTGCTGATCCTCATCCCAGCCGCTTCACATTCGGCCGCGAACCTACCCAGCAAGAGCTGAAGGTCAGAGCTGGATGAAGCTAGGAGGACCACATCATCCGCAAAAAGCAGAGACGAGATTCTCCTGCCACCAAACTCGACACACTCCACACCACGGCTGCGTCTAGAAATTCTGTCCATAAAAGTGATGAACAGAACCGGTGACAAAGGGCAGCCCTGGCGGAGTCCAACCCTCACTGGGAACAGGTCCGACTTACTACCGGCTATGCGGACCAAACTCACGCTCCTCTGGTAAAGGGACTGAATGGCCCTTAACAGAAAGCCACCCACCCCATACTCCTGGAGCGTCCCCCACAGGGTGCCCCTGGGGACACGGTCATAAGCCTTCTCCAAATCCACAAAGCACATGTGGATTGGTTGGGCAAACTCCCATGCCCCCTCCATCACCCTTGCAAGGGTATAGAGCTGGTCCACAGTTCCACGGCCAGGACGAAAACCACATTGCTCCTCCTCTATCTGAGATTCAACTATCGATCGGACCCTCCTCTCCAGTACCTTGGCGTAGACCTTTCCAGGGAGGCTGAGGAGTGTGATCCCCCTATAGTTGGAACACACCCTCAGGTCACCCTTCTTAAAGATGGGGACCACCACCCCGGTCTGCCACTCCCTAGGAACTGCCCCCGATGACCACGCAATGTTGTAGAGACGTGTCAACCATGACAGCCCTACAACATCCATAGCCTTGAGATACCCAGGACGAACCTCATCCGCCCCCGGGGCTCCGCCGCTGTGTAGTTGTTTGACTACCTCAGCAACTTCTGCCCCCGAGATCGGACAGTCCATCCCCAGGCCTCCCAGCTCTGGTTCCTCCTCGGAATGCGCATTGGTGGGATTGAGGAGCTCCTCAAAGTATTCCTTCCACCGTCCGACTATAGCCTCAGTTGACGTCAGCAGCTCCCCATCCCCACTGTTGTTACCAAAGTGTTTATGTTTTTCTGTAACAAAAAAATCTGAGTTTTAATGTTCAGTTGCTCCAACGTGATAAACGCTGTATGTCCTTAAATCCTTTGGCTGAACTCTTAGTGCAAAATATTTAACATTAAACATTTAAATTTTCATGCAATCTAACTGATGAAAGCCGCAACAGACAAACGGACCTGCAAACAAATTAGTAAAATCTGATCTGGGTTCAGTCAGTAATTCTGCAGCAGCTGTTTTAAATAAACACAACGCCCTCAGGGAGTCTCTGAAATCAGGATGTGTGTCAGGTGAGTTTTCGTTTTGTTTCCTAAAGCTGTCTGATCCTACCTGGTAACTGGACCTTGGCTATTCCTGGTTCTGATCCTCCAGAATCCAGCTGATGATCAGAAACTGACAGAAAAACAGAGTCAGCTGTAAACCAAACTGAGAACCTCTTTACTTCTGGTAAAGTTTCCCATGCTCAGAGACAATCTGGACCACATTAAGTCTCAGACTCCAACAAAGACAAACAGAACTCTAAAGAGGTGCAACCGGAGCATTGGGCCTGCATTCAGCTGCTCACAGCAGTGTGACCTGTTCAGGTTAAAGATCGTCTGTAATGGTTCTGAGACATCAGACTGAGTCCAGGATTCAGTTCTATAGTGAGATCCTGGTTGTGACCCACCTTCTTTCTCACAGTGTGGACCCGTGTGTCCCGGACAACAGCGCCAGATCAGAGATGTGACGACGTCCGGCCTCATCCTGTAGATCGGCCGTGTCGACAGCCTATACCTGAGTCCAAACAAACAAACCAAGGTTACTTTTAGCTTCTTTTCCTCAGACAGAACCAGAACACAACATAGAGCTGGAAAGAACCAATCAGCAGTTATGACACTGGATCAGTTTGTTAGTTTGAACTCAGCAGTTGTTTGATTCCAGCAGCACATCTGGATTATCGCTCCTAATCTGTTTCTCTATTTGAGCCTACACACTGCAGATGATGTTCACAATAAAAATCCTTTCAATGACATGTTCCATGTTGGGAGTAATGCATTAAAGTATAACAGCATTACTAACAACATTCTTTTTTAGGTAAAGGAGTAATTAATTAATTACTACTCCCATTGTTGCAACGCCGTTACCGTTACTGGGCACATGTAAAGTGGCACCTTGCAATCATGTGGTTGAACAAAGCGGAGCAGTTTCAGGCTTTCTGACAGCCACAGTAGCAGGATTCCCCCAGTGTTTAATTAGCCAGGCGACACGACAGGTTTTTTGTTGCGGCGGTCCCTCGTTTATCGCTTGGATTACGTTCTAAAAATAACCCACAAAAGGTGATATCCTTGAAATAGCCAGCTTTATTTTTTACAATTATTATAAATGTGTTGTGTGGGGATCACACTCCTGAGCCTCCCTGGTAAGGTCTATTCAGGGGTTCTGGAGAGGAGGGTTCATTGGATTGTCGAACCTCGGATTCAAGAGGAGCAATGTGGTTTTCGTCCTGGCCGTGGAACACTGCAGCATTAATTTTAATCTGCAACACTCTCTCTGTGAGGCAACACTGCTGCCAACCATACAGATGTTTTTTTCTCACAAATTTAATTTAAAGAACTCAGCAGTCTGCAATAACATCAGAGTTACAGAGTTATTTGTGCCATAAAACCTGAAAGATACAATAAAAATATGTAAAAACAACAACAAAAAGAAAAACGCCAGTAACAATAACACTAAAAATTAAATGTTACTCACATGATCTGCTGGCAGCTTGGCGACCCGTCAGAACACAGTCTCTGATCCTTCACAACGTGAGTCTTTGTTCCAGAGTAAACAGGCACCATCAGCACACGTGTGTGCTCAAACGCACAGTGGTTCCTACACACACACACACACACACACACATACACATTTTTTTCTTAGAATGTAGACATATAGAGAGGTCAAGACCAGGCCTTTTGAAATCTGGTTGTTATCTATTTTTTTCTTAGCTTTCTTTTAACTAATTAATTTAAATTTTCTTTTATCTAAATTTTATCTCATTGGTATTTTATTGGTCTCACAAATGTCCATGTTCGTATTTTGCTTTCAATGTTTTTATGACTTGCTACTTTTATCTTTGTTACTTTTCTTGTCCAGTGCCTTGGGCCCCTTTGAGGGTGGTGGAAAGCGCTACATGAATAAAACTTGATTGATTGATTCAAATATGTGTGTGTGTGTGTGTGTGTGTGTGTGTGTGTGTGTGTGTGTACTTGTCTTTATATTAACTATAATATAAACCCAATCACTGTATTGGCCCAAACATAGGACCCCCCCCCCCCCCCAATTAAAAGATGAACCCTCCCTTTCCAAGACCAACCTTTATAAAAACACAAATAATCACTTTTTAAATAAAAACTACTGTGTTTTTATTGAATTTTTGAGAACAAATACTGAGCAAAAAATACTGTTTTAATTCAAACTATCAGAACTTTGCTCACATGTGAAATCAAAAGTTAACATTACCCACTGGTGAAATTCATCTCTGCATTTGGAGCAGTGAGCTGCAGCTGTGGTCGCATTAGGGAACTATTTGGTTGTCTAACCCTCCAATCCAACCCCTTCAAAGCTCAGTGTCAAGCAGGAAGGCATTGGGTCCCATTTTTAAAGTCTTTGGTAGGACCCAACCAGGATTTGAACCCTGATCTCCTGGTTCCAGGGCAGACACTACCACTAGGTCACTGAGGAGGTAATGAGGCGTCTATTGACAGACGTCCTCTGCCTCACTGTGTTCACTGTCACTGTATCTCTCCTGCTGCGGTCAATGTGTTGTCTTTATTTTCATGACCGTTTACATTGGCAGACTCTCACTGAAGGCATCAAAACTATGAATGAACACATGTGTAGTTATGTACTTAACCAAAATAGGTGAAATAACTGAAAACATGTTTTATATTCTATTTTCTTAAAAATATCCACCCTTTGCTCTGATTACTGCTTTGCACACTCTTGGCATTCTCTTCATGAGCTTCAAGAGGTAGTCACCTGAAACGGTTTTCCAACAGTCTTGAAGGAGTTCCCAGAGGTGTTTAGCGGGCCAACACATGCAAACACACATGTGCGCACACGCAGTTAAATGTCTTAAATATATTGTTTGCATTACTTTTCTCTGGTTTCTCTGATGGTGAACTTAGTTCCTAGAACTATGTAGTCAGAAAGTGCCTATAGATGTTATGTTCATCAAGAGCAGCTGTGAGTTGTTTAGCCACAACCTTTTCCAAGATCTTGGAGATGAACGGAAGTTTAGAGATGGGTCTGAAGCTGCTATGGAGAGAGGCATCAAGACTCCGTTTTTTTAAGAAGCGGGTGGATTACAGCATTCTTAAAGTAAGCAGGGACCTGACCAGAAACCAGAGAAGCATTAATTATAGAGAGCACGCTAGGACTGATGGACTGAAAAGCACTTTTAAACAAAGATGAGGGTAAGATGTCGAGGGGGCATGCAGAGGTCTTCATAGAGTTAACTAGTTTGGTTAACTCAGGCAAAGAAACAGGAGCAAAGCTATGATGGGCCTGGTTGGAGTTGGGAGAGGCGGCAATAAGGCTGAAGGAGAGATGCTAGATCTAACATTATTGACTTTGTCCACAAAGAAAGACAGAAAGTTCTCACAGTCTGTAACAGAGTGGATGGAGGCTGTAGGAGAGGCAGGAGAGACATTGCTGCTGATGGTGTCAAAAAGCACCTTGGGGTTCCCTTTGCTCTGGGACACCAGGTTGGAGAAATAGGAAACCCTGGCGTCTCTGACTGCAGAGTTAAAGGATGTCAGAAGATCCTTTAGGTGCAGCAGATGGACGTGGAGATGGGTTTTCTTCCACAACAGCTAGGCCTCTGCCACGTCCAGAACCCTGGGGCTGGCTAACGATGCAATGAGCGTGCGCGTATTTACCGCTTGGGCAGTGTGGAGCGGTGGAGAAACTCGTTTCAAAAACAGAACCGACAGGAATACAGGTGCGGGTTTCTATTAGCAACAGGGGGGGGGGGGGGGGGGGGCAAACACAGCGAGAGAAACACAGAGGGACCTGATTGATAGTAAAGTTTTTGAGCTAAACTGCGGGACAAGTGTGGGTGATTAACCTCCTCATTAGAAAAACTTTGGGTGTTGAAACACTCACATCCCCACAGGTGCAATGCCCGTGAATGTACTGAAACTATAACAAATGTGCATAAAAGAACAGATAGGTGCAGCTTACTTACATTGTTTGTCTTTCTAAAAACAGTAATTTCTGCTTGTCTTTTTCGCCTCATCCTGCAGCAACCACTTTGGCGCCTCTGGAGTCGGTGTTTGTTGACATCATGCTGTAATCAATGCCACTGGAAAAAGGAGCATCAAGCTTTCAACCTCGATTTTGTTTTCTTTTTTGCCTTATAAGTGGGGGGATTGATCAGGGTCAGTCTGACTCTGGGGGGGACATGATCCCCCCACCGTCCCCTACCCTGTCTGCGCTAATCAGCGCTGAGCAGCGTATGTCACACTGCAACACTCATAAACAATGAAGATGTGTCTGAAGCGGAGTTCGCTACAGCTCGTCCTTTGTTCTAAATGAACATGTCTTTAAAACAGGAAGTTGAAGCGCTAAAAGCCTTTCTTCAAAGATGGATGTTTGCACCTTCACCAGACGCCATTTTTGACTACAGCTAAAAAACTTCAGCATTGCGGACGTCACACACCACAACGTTCAGTTTCTCATAAACAACGAATACGGGTCTGAAGCTAGGTTTGCTGCGGCTCTTTCCTCTATTCTACATTACTTGAATGCCTTTAAAACCACAACAAGTAGAAGCGTTAAAAGCCTTTCTTCTAAAAAAAAGATGTTTGCATCGTCGCTAGATGCCATTTTTGACTATACCTAAAAAGCTACAGTGTTGTACGGTACAGTCGGCATTTCCGCCTTTTTTATGATTGGTTATTTTTGAGCTGGCTAGTCCTGCCCCTCATGTGCCTCTCGGCCTGTGAGTAACCAGACTACTTCTCTGTGTAGAATTAAACAGAGGACAAGTCTGGCAGGCCAGGTTAGCTTTCCGGGCACATCCAACAGGGAGAAGACCTAAAGGAAGACCCAGGATAAGCTGGAGGGACTGTGTTTCTCGACTGGCCAGGGAACGCCGTAGGATTCCCCCCGAGGAGCTGGCCCAAGTAGCTGGGGAGAGGGAGGTCTGGGCCTCTCTGCTTATGGCTACTGCCCCCGTGACCCGACCCCGGATAAGCTGCCGAAAATGGATGTATGGATGGAAAAAAACCTTGTCATATATTCTGGTCAATATGATAACTTTTAGTTTAGATTAATTTGGGTTAGGGTTAGGAATAGAACCCCATTGGTGAAGGTTAGGGTATGGGTCAGGCATAGTGGAGTCACTAATATGAATGGAGATCCACACAAGGTAAGGCAGCTTTATTCAAATAGCACATTTCATACACAATTCAATGTGCTTTCTATTAGCAAGAATAGCAAGAACATTAAAATCACTGTGACAGAAAATACAACTTAAAAATAAAAAGAAACAGACAACGTTAATGGGTGAGCAGTTACAGTGCAGAATTTGCAGCATAAGAACATTTATTCAAAGGCTGATGAAAACATGAAGGTTTTCAATTTTGATTTAATAGTTACTAGAGTTGGGGCACATTTGAGGTCATGAGGAAGCTGATTCCACCTGTAAGCAGCATAGTAGCTAGAAGCAGCTTCACCCTGTTTGGGTCTGACCCGGGGTTCTAGCAGCTGACTGTTTCCTAGAGATCTCAGAGCCCTGCTGGACATGGAATGAGATCCAACATGTATTCAGGCCCCATGCCATTGTTGTGGTTTACTGGTAACCAGTGTAGAGACTTAAGAAGAGGAGTGATGTGCTCAGTTCTGTTGGTTCTTGATAAGACTCTCGCCGCAGCATTCAGGATAAGCTGCAGTTGCATAACAGCTTTTTTGGGAAGACCAGTCAAAAGACCACTGCAATAGTCCAGCCTGATGGAGATGAACACATGAATGAGTTTATCTAGGTCTTGTCTGGACATGAGACCCCTGAGTCGTGCTATTTGATGAAGATGATAAAATGCTGATCTAGTTATATAGCCTTAATGTAACCAGTGAAGCTCAGGTTTGAATCAGTTATGACACCAAGATTTCTAACCTGCATCTTTGGCTTTATTCCGCTGGAGCCAAGTTGAGCAATAACCTCCATCCTATCCTTCTTATTTCCAAAGACAATAACTTCAGTCTTGTCTTTGTTTAACTGGAGGAAGTTTGACTGCATCCGGCCACTGACTTGCTTCAAACACTGATAGAGTGAGGCTAGGGGTAGATCTGGGTGTCATCTGCATAACTATGATAGGAAATATTGTTATTGTTTATGAACTGACCCAGGGGGAGCATGTAGACATTGAAGAGCAGTGGTCCAAGAAATGAGCCTTGGGGAACTCCACATGTCATGGTGGTCAGCTTTGATTTGTGACCACCAATGGAGACAACATAACCATTATCTTCAAGATAAGATTGGAACCAACTATGGATGGTGCCTGAAAGTCCCACCCAGTTTATAAGCCTATCAAAAAAGGACAAAATCAACAGGTCCTATAACACACAAGCATATAAATATGCATGCATGTGTGTGTGTTAATGTCAGTGTTTCCTGATGTTTAACTTCTGCCTCCTTAACTCTACATTCATGTTTCCCCCCAGAGTTTGCTGCAAGAGAATTTCTAAACACTGTGTGTTTCCTGTAGAGCTCTGGCTGTTTCTGCTGCTCCGTGTTGTTTGGCAGTGCTTCCTTCATCCTCTGAGTTTGTTTCCTTCTATAAAACACATTTCTGATCTTTTTTGTGGCTTCTATAAACCAGATTGTGCTG